TTTTTTTTTTTTTTTGAACGCCTTTTTCCGTCCGCCCGTTAGGTTGTTGGGAATCCACGTTGTAGAAGGCATTTTTATCTTTTAGAGAGAAATAAATCGAATAGTTCCTATCCCGTAGAATCATCTAAAATCTGTATTTAGTAAGTTTTATAATCTTTCAATGATATAATATATATATATATATATTAAATATAAATATATATCAAGATATTCATTTATAAAATTCGATGAATTTCGTCGTATTTATATTTTGTTCATAATATTTTCAATTTTCCCGTATCCCATATATCCCTTTAAAATTTACGTTGAATAGTATTTATCATCTTCCAAAATTTGAATAAGTCTAATATTATATATATATCTCTATCTATTTATATTTATATTTATATTTATGTATGTATATATATATGAATATGTTATATGATATATTATATATATATTCTATATTCTGTCGATTATATATATGTATATATATGATGCCATCTATAGAAAAAGAAGAAGAAAAGAGAGATACGGAGATAACGGAAATAGAAAGATAATAGTAAAGAAATAGAAGGAATGAAGGTGGAGAGGTGCAGAAAAATCAAATCTTATGAAAATATAGGAAATAGAAAATTTATATTCGAAAATTAAATCAATATCCACAAGCAACCCTCGTATTAAATTCAATCATAATTCTATATTAATGGCTTACCTATTCAAGAGATATACGGTATGAATCCAATTTCATTTTCGTAAGACCGTTATCCAATTTTTTCGGTGCGTTTGGACGAAAATCGATGGTCTTAGCATGATCGAAGATCTTTGGAGCAGCGTTTGGGATTGAGTGCGGTATGGACTCCAAAATACCCATTCAGGCTCGAAGATACACGCGCTACAATTCCTGTTGTGACTACCATTAGTCTCGACAATACTTACATCATTTTGCTGCTGTGTGCTACTGCTATATCTCTCGTCGTTCTTGCTGTTCTATACTATACGCACCACCAGACGACTGCAATGGCACAACTCGGAGTTACAGCGACACTAATCACTGTACAGGTCGACTGTCGCGCCACCCCATAGCAGCGGCGGATGCTACCCAAACAGAGCTCCAAGCAGTCCGACACCACCTTCGAGGGCTTCCCCAGCCTGAGTGTGGCCAAAAGTCTTCGGCCAAGCGCGAAGCTCCCGAACCAAGGCCGTTACGAGGGCGCCGACAACCAAACCACCTGTGAGTAACGACTTGAAGAGCGAAGCTCAGGAAGCTCTTGGAAAAACCTCTGACTGGCCTGCCAGCATGCCCAAGGGCCCAAGCATGTCTGCGAGCGGCCCACTCATTGGCCGAGGCCTGTCCCGCAGTGGACATACAAAGTCCTAAAGTCGCTGAGGTTCCAGGCCGGGAACCCGCCTCGGTGGGAAGCGCTGTCTGAAGATGCGACCAAGTTGGCTGTTCATGTTCCTTAGCAAAACCGCTGTTGTTCAATGCTACGAGCCTTCTCGTCAACATCAAGTTGTCTCGGCAGGGGACGGATGGATGTCATCGAAAGAGAATGGCCGATCGAGCGAAAACCTGGCATCCCACCGAAGGCAAGGTGTCTCCCCTCCCCATTAGGCGCCCTGAGACTCCCACTGCTGAGAAGAGCTCAGCACCGGCCGCTGGGAAAAGCCTGAGAACATCTGAGAACTTATCAACGTGTTCGAACACTTTTAAATCGGCTGAAATGCAGTTATGGCGCACAACACCTGCTAAGACCCCACGCCACCCATGCTCAGGTGTCGATGGAGGAGTTGCAACAGCTCTGGGTATATCCTCAGCAACACATTCTTACATCAGCGTCCGCTCTTCGTGCTAGAAACACTTCGTTTCAATCCGTTGCGTGATAAGCCCGGAGCTGCAAGTCTGAGGCGAGTACGGGCGAGGGTTTCTGCGAAGCACGTCACAAAAAGCTGTCCTGGGTACAAACTGCAGCTCTCTTTGGCAATGCATGACAGCGATCGAGCGATCAGACTGTGTCAAACTATAGACTCCTTGCTTGCAAAGCTTCGTCATTGCACCTCCAGGTGCTGCATACATGGAGGCTGCATCCGAAGATGTGTCGTCATCTTCACAACCACCTGGAGACGAGCGAGACCAGCTGAGCTCCAAAACAATCGAACTTGTTAAGTTGTCCAAGCTGCTGAACATGAGAACGTCGCCTCTACAAAGGAACCTTGCAGCTGATTGCTGCAGGTGTCTGACTTCATAAAACCTTCAATGCTTGAAAACAGTTCTGGGCTCATGACGGGTTCACGGCTTCACGCCACATGCCCCGTCGCGGATCCCAAGTGAACGGAAGATCCAAGCCACTGCCACTGTGGCCTGAGATGCTCAGCTCAACAAGCTCACTCAGACACAGCAGCTCCTGTTAAGTTTGTGGCAGCAGTCCATCACGCTCGTCAGCCTACATTCAAAGACTCAGATGCTTAAAAAGGACATCCAAGAACTTATCATTCCAACAGGCGACCCTGCTGCAATCAGGCCTGACTCCTTCTGGCAGGGGTTTGACGATGTAGTCACTCACTTCGTCATCTGTCCTTGTCAATGCCGGAGAGGTGAATTTGTGCTGCTGCTTGCCAACCCCCCTCCCCGACCTTCCCAAGTCTTCCCGTCACTCACCCGACTGCCTGGATGCCTATCACTCAGCAACTTGGCAAGGCTTTCTGTATCGATGCAGACCACTCTCCGCCGCTTTCAGATATAGAGCTTTAAGTCTTTAAGTTTGTACTCCCGATTTAGGGTCTTCAGGGTGCTCCTTTCATGGTAAGGATTTGCTGCCCGTCACTCCTTGTTGGTTTCAGGGAGGTCACCACCATCTTCCCTCCTCTCTGGTGTGGCACACCCTCTCTCTTGTGGCATCTACAGTTTGCGACTCTCCTCTTGCCAGATTCTTGCTGCTCACTCTTTTCGCGCTGCTCCGTAGCCGAACAACTTGGGTACATAATGTTTAACACGAAACAGAATACGTACGGGCATCAGCAACATGCAAGGCCAAGTAGAGAGTGTGAGGACAAGGATCCAAACCACACACAAACAAAGCACGGACGAACCCAGCTAAGTCTGTCCAAGAAGCATCATTCCAGCCTGGGATAGGACACGGTGCGAGATAACAACTTCGCACTCCGATACCAGACCAGGCACACGCTCGAAATCGACGGGAAGGATCGTTTCGTTCATGCCATCCTCAAGCACTCTCTCTCTGTCTCTGACTTCCACACGCTGAGGGTGGAAGCGCTGTCCTCCTCGAAGCCTTGCGGATCTTCTTTCTGGGCCTGAAGTGCAGCAACGGAGAGCTCCCAGATAGGGCTTGCCTTGCGAAGAGTGGGCTTCGAACTCCGTGGCCCGAGAAGCTGAAGAACAGTACATCCCCTCAAGGCAGAACGAGAAATTCATGTCGCACGACTTCGGCCTGCGATGGTGTGTGCATGTCACAGTCGGCGGCCTGGCATGGCATCCTCTGCAAGCCAACGGAGGTGCTGAGTGATGTTGTGGCGCCTCGGCACGAATGAGGATGTCTGTCTACCGTCTATCCGCCAGAATCAGAACATGGCCCATGTCAAGGTCCATGACGTGGGCATTCCTCCTCCGCGGCCATCGTCAGTAAGTGTTCTGATGTTGTGAGCCTTGACCCAAGAGGAGCGAGTTCACTCCTGACATGACAACCCAGCTCTAGCCGTCTCGCCTGCCACCCATAAGTCTCTGTCAGGAGGCGGAACAAATTGTGGACGTCGTTGATGCAACCTCGCCTTCCAGGCCGCAGAGCCGGAGCCGGAGCCGGAGTCGGAGCACAGCAGAGCTCAGGCCGAGGTGCAGTTCCGCTCGCGTGCCGAAGTAGTTCACTCCGATCAACAAGGCTTTCTGACGGCCTGCCAGTGCCAGCAGCCCGAAGCGCAAAGCACAGGCTGTGCGGATAAGGCCTGAGGCTCTAGGTGGTGCTCCTGACAGAGATAGCGCAAGGGCCATGAGAACCGATCATCACATTAGCTGTGAGCGTTGGGTTCTTGTGGCCGTGACAAAAGCAGCAGTCCTCCACCGCTGAATTTCATTGGGCTGCTCGGAGAACCTCCGGTGTGTGGCATTGCAGCCTGAAGCAGTTTGCATGCAGCAGCCTCCGGAGCAGCATTGGCCATGCTGAGCCTGGTTGGTGGTGCCGCAGTGCGGACACCTCGCTTGCACGGTGGCACCGGGCGCAGTGCCTTGCAAGCTCCCATATAAAGCTGAAGACACGTTCAAACGGACGTGATTTGCGAGGCATGCAAAATCGAAGACTGCTCTCAAAAACAGGCCTGGTGGCACCGCAACACCGTAAACATTGCCGCAGTTGCCGCACCTGCAAATGACAAGAAATACCACAACACTCGTCTTTGCATCGAGTTGGCCTGATCTGAAGATCACCGGAGCCGGGCTTCTGAGGCAAACACTCACACACTCATGCAAGGCCCTTGTAAAGTCGAAGAAGGCTCAGAAAAACGATCCAAGGCCTTGCCATCGTCCTTCCCTGGACGATACTCCTGCAGGCGATCCGTGCTTTGTGTCGATCGCATCTGTGGTTGCCCTCCCTGGGCAACCGTAGCAAACTCTGAATGTACATCGCCTTGCGGAGGAGTGCTACATCAATCGAATTTACGGACATCGGAGCCGACGGTAAATAGTGCCTCCATTGAGGTACGCTTCCAACATACTTCAGCAAACTTCGGAAATGGGGTAGGATAGACCAGGCAAATTACAGAGCAAGTCAGCTCGTAAGCTGCGAGCGTGTGAGTGAGGCAGAAAGCAGGGTAGCGAGCATGCGAGCGAGCAAGCGAGAAAGCGAGCGAGCAAGCAAGCACGGAAGGCAGAGCAATGAGTTTCAATGGTCTCGCGTCATCGGGTTCTCTTCCGGAAGCAACTCTAATTTGCCTGTTGTTTTTTTGGGCAAGCTTGACTGCAGGCACTGAGAAAAAGCTGCACGCACACACACACACACACACCCGACATGCCCGGGCAGTCATGCGGCTTGCCACCCCCGGACCAGGAGTCGATCGCCGCTCCTGTCGCAAGGCTTCTGATGGATGGCACGGCATTTCGGTTAAATCCGATTTTGGAGGTGGTCGGAAAAGGTGCAAACAGAACAAGCAATCGAATCTCCCGCTCGCGACGCCTGCACCGGATGGTGCCATAGATGGACGAATCCGACCTGGCAGTGCTAGTGCTTCGGAGGGTGTCTGAGTTGCCACGGTCAAAGACTAGTGCCGGACCACAGCGAGCAGCAAACCGCTTGAAATCGAAGCTCCCTTCGTCAACATCAGCCAACAGCGCTATGACGCAGATGCTGCAACTTCTTGCCACGCCCTGTAACACTTGACACACAAACATGCTGCACAGTCAAATTCTGATACGTCATCCAGGAACAAGGCTGGCAAACTCAAGAAAACCTGTAAAACAAAGACAAGTTTGCAAACACGAAGCACGATTTCGTCAACCAATGGCGCAGGAACAAAACCAAGCAACTAACAAGGCACTCGAGACTTGTGACGCTTCCAGCACCCCCCACCCAAGGTCTCCCGATTTCTACAAATTCCGGTTGGAGTCTTTGGATTACTTCTTGAGATTTGTGATATTTGTCTGCATTTCGAGGCGGTTGCTTTGTGTGTCCCAAGGCTTTCTACACGTCTATGGATGTCTATCCTGTTCTCATGACTCCTCTAGTGTAGCTTTGGCTTCAACCACCCTCTTCGGTTTCCAACAATGTCTGTAGTTCCTGGTCGATTCTTCAAACTCCGACGGATCGCAGAGCGGACTTTACTCAATTTCGTTAACGGCTCCTCTGACATCTCGCTGACACACCATGCAACACAAAACACGACGACTGAGCAGACACTCGCAAAGCCTTTTCCCGGACTATTGGAATGGCTTCGCTGTTGACAGGCAGCGTCTGACTGAACCTGTCCTGTGCAATTTAATCGCACAGCGTTCAATCGGCACCCCGTATAAAAGGGCGGTGTGGCTGGAAGCGAACAAAGGACGAAAGCTTCACGACTTTAAATGAAGCCAAGTGCTGCGGTGTTGACGCTCGTTCATGCCGTTTAATGCACAAGTGCACACCATGCAGAACAAAACGCGAGAACAGAGCAAATACTCGCAAAGCCTTCTCCCGGACTATTGGAATGTTGGCAGGCAGCGTCTGACTGAACCTGTCGTGTGCAGCGTGCAGTCGGCACCATAGGTGCGACGCCTGCGGCCATAACTACGCACCTATAGCCCCTCAGCCCTTGCCACGCTGGTCTGCAAGATCGTTGCGAAGATCTGGTCCCAATCAGCACCAATTCTCTGCCAGCCACGACGCTTTGCTTTCCCCACGACTGACGGCATCGCTAACATTTGCACTGCTACAGACTCTCTGCCACTGCGGAATCATGCCATGTTTTTCAATCCACAACCACACTGTTTGCACAAGCTTGTTCACCTGCTCATCGCTGCCATACCCCTTACCCAGTGCATGACGCGCGGGCTCGTTGTCTTAGAACATTATGCTGTATTTGTCCAGGATCCCGACAAGTGCGTACAACGGGAGAATCTGTGCGACGATGTCCAACACGTCAATGTACAACGGCGACTAGCAAAATGCCTGGCAAAGCAAAATGGAGCGAACCCGGAAGCGTACAAGACCTTGCAACCAACCTTTGCCACAAATCCCCAACTGTTGAGGAAAGCTGATGGGTTCGAGCTCCCCCAATCTGGCGCAGTGTCCGACTTGAACTCACCCTGCAGGGGCACCATCAGCACGCTGTCCAACTCGGCCACACTTTCAGCAAGCGACGCAAAGATCTCTGTGGAAACGATCTTCATCTCTGCTATGTAACGCTTGGCCATGTCATCGCACCCTGCTTCGTCAAGGTACTGCACAATTTTCGGGACCGTAGACATGGCTCCAATTCCTGTCAGGCGCGTGAAAGGAGCAAGTTCACGCTCTTTATAAACCTCGAAAACAATGCGTTCAAAAGGGCAAGCAAGATCAACACACAAGTTGCTCAAGGAAGCACATCACGACTCAGCCAATGGCAACATCTCCACTCACGCGGAAACATCACGCTTTCTTCTGCACACTATATCATCTCAACTGCAGCAATGTCCTGGGCACGGGCGGCCCCTCGTTACGCACTTCGCGCTGGCACGAGCTGCTGCGTTGTCTTTTGCACAAGAACAGCAACGTCACACTCATGTTCACAATGGCTCGACACCCTGGCACAGGGTTGGTCTGAGCAGCACTGCCTTCCGCAGCTAGTGTTTCGCGCGAGGTTGCTTTGTTAGCGACCCATGGCCTTCATTCGTCTTCCTTGGACGAGGAGCTGCCGCTTGCTGCTTTTGATTCGCTCGAAGATTCGTCTTCAGTGACGTCCGGGTCAGCGTACACCACTTCCGGGAAGCATCGCTTGCATCTCTCCTCGTCCTCCACCCGAGCACACCGGGTGAAGGCTGACATCCCATAAGGCCAACCACACAACTGCCACGGGAGTGTGGTGGCTTCGTTGTTGTCTCTGCGGTGCACTTTCTTGGCTACAATGAATTTAGGGCGCAACTGCATCTGCTCGACGGACGAGGCCAACTTCTCAACTTTCTCGCGCAACTCATTGATGACGGCATTGCTGGTGTGGCTGAGCTGTTCGTTCCCTGCGCCGGTCTTCGGCACGACGGTGTCGAAGTCATCCAACGCAACATCTTGCACGTATCTTTCGATTGCTCTTCTCCCCCATCTGCCAATGAGCATCGCCGTGGGCAAGGGTACCTTAAGTCTTGTGAGAAACTGTGATCCAGCAACTCGGAGGACATGGCCGCCGAATCGCGGCACCGGGTGGAGTCCGTCCGGCCCTGGCCTGGTTAGCGGCACGCCGTGCTTGCGCAACACTTGCCTGATGATCTCCACAGTCTCACTTTTCTCCAATTCCACACCTGGAACTTTTGCAAACAGCGGGTCTTCAGGGTCTCCTTTGAAGTTCTTGACGTAGGCGGCGGCAGCGTGATACGGGCAAATCCGACTGTGAAGCACTCCACAACAACGCCGATGCGTTCGGGTGGCCAGGTTTCCCACGGCATCGGTTCTGGAAGCCACAGGGTCAAAGAAACGTTTTGTCTCTCGTGGTCTGCCCTCGACGAAGTGCAGCTAGCTCGATTTCTCGCAATGACCACGATGGCTGGCTCGCTTTCTCCACATTTGACACACCCCACGAAGAGGTTCTCTAACTGGAAGGAGTCCTTGAGCGGTGTTCCCCCGATGCCACGCTAAATTGATCGAACTGCATCTTTCATCGCCAAACTCAGCTTCGGCAGAGAGAGCTGTGCGCATCGCCTCGACATATGCTCGGTGCAAACGGCGGATGTATTGTCGAGCGGACCTGTATCCCCCGGCTTTTAGGCCAGCGGCGATCTTGTGAACTACGTCCTCCGTCACGGGCATGAGATTGACTGGCCACGCCGACGCCAATGACTCTAATATGCGAAGACGACGAGATGCTTGTGATGCCTTCGCACTGTTGGCCCAGATGTCCTTGTTGTAGTTTGCCATTGGTACGTCACGATTTTCGGTCTTGAGGCTCTCTGCCGTGAGCCTCTTGTTGAAGTTGGGGGCGCGGCATGTCCCCACGTAGCTTCTTCCGGGGCTTCTCCAGCTCTGCGTCCGCTGGAGAACTGATGTCGGGGCAACGCTGCCTAGATCCAGCGAAGTTCTTGCCGAAAACAACAAGCAAGACTGCCTCCGCATTCGTCATCAAGTTGGATCCATCGCTTCGTAAGGTCCAGGCACCTTTGCGCTCCGTGAGAGAAGTGATTCCTGTTGCTTCGAAATCCTCGATCGCTGTCGCACACACCCCAGCATCCAGGGTTGCTTGTGCCATGCCTGCAAACGTGTTCTGGTAACCGAAGTCCATGGCGGGCTGTTTTCGGGTTCCCTGGTTGGCCACAGTTCTTTTGCTTGTGAAAGATACAGCTGACATGGCAAGCTAAGCACGCAACAATTCGCACGACGATCAGCACTCCAACATCCGACACACCACAGGCTGTCGAGTCTGTAAAGCTCGACAAACTCTACTACCACCTCACCTACACTACGACTGTGCCACAGTCACTATGGTCTTGCAAGTCTTTCACCGACGCTGGAAGCACATGGACAAAAGGCGGATGGAAGGATGGACGGACGGAGATGCAGGGACGGACGCACGCACGGACGGAGCGGGCTGGGGTTGGGCTGGGGCTGGCTCCGTCCCGCGTCCATCGTCCTCCCACCGTCCCTCTTGTCTATCTTCACTGATGTTTTGGCAAATCATCAACTATGGAAACACCGTAGAAGAAGAGTGTGATGGCCGCACGGCGCGGATGCCAGCAGCCGCCCGTTGTTCATAATAACCCTTTCCCGCTTGATGGTGTGTTCGGTTGTTGCTGTTGTGGCCACCCCATGACCAGCATATGCTGGTCATGGGCGGCCCACGATTTTATGAGTCATTTACGGTTCCGAAAACCCAAACCCACGACTTTGCAAGTCATGAACATCGTGAAAAAGTAAGAACACACCCTTGACGAGACAGGCCCAAGACTTTATGGGTCACAGCCCCAAAGACCCAAGACTTTTTAGGTCACAGCCCATTACACAGCACAGTTGTTCGAGTCATAGCAACGCACGTATCGATAAGCTGCGACAGGCTGGAAAGCTATGCTCAATTCAATACCGGTACCGGAACTGCAAAGAATACCTGGGTGTAACCTCAAATCAAACTTTATCTTGAAACTAGGGTCTGACTACATTGCTTCCAAATCCTTTCAATTATGATTCTCATGCAAACCCTACAAGCTTTGGAACTTGGGTTAGAAGCCCATATAAAACACAATGCCAGACGCCGATGTCCAAATTCCCGGATTCCCGTACTTGAGGGCCATGTCCAAACAAACACGGTGCTGCGAGTTGCCGCTGCGATCCGCATTGCCCCAGCGATGTTTTGCCAGAGCAGTGAGCGACAGTGACAAGTGAGACATGGCTTTTAGGATCAGGGGACTAGCTCAATAGTCTTGAAATAATAATACGTACCATTACTTACGTCCGTGACTCGAAACACTGAACTATAACGCTACTTGCTAAATCCGCTGGTCCAAGTGTTCATGGACCCTCCAAAACTGCTCCGGCTTAGAGTTTATGGTTTAGGGAATCTT